CTATTTTAAGCAAAACAGTAACATAATTAAATCCTCTTTACTTATAACCTAATTAGAAATGTTGCATTAAGTGGCCAACAGAGTGTGTGGAAATTGGCCAGACTTCTGTATATTTTCTTCAGGATACTTTGAAACCTCTTTCACCATTTCACAATATTTATAGATTGTGCAATTCAGGTTTAGTAACACTATAGATAGTCAAATGTCTCAGAGAACAAAACAGGAATTACCAGGAACTTAAGTGTTCATGGCATGAGAGACGAGTACATTGTTAATGATAGTTACAAAAAATTAAGTAGAAAGTTCAGGAGAAAATTCAGGATACTTAAAATCAGATTTTTTTTTGGTAAATATATTCTAATATGTTAATCACTACTTGGTTTTCCTAAGAGTTATCACTTTTAGTGTGTCTTCTAAAACTTTCCTTACTAAATTTTTTTTTGTTTCTACTCCAGTGGTTATAGATCTAGATCAAGAATCTTTTAATTATTATTTTTTTAAATTAGATGCTTCAGGACTTGCACTTTTTGTCTTACCAACAAGGTCAGTGCCCAGGTCGTAGGGCTTTTGTAGAAAAACTTTTGGCACCCACTGGCAAGCCTTCCTGGTGTTGTGTTTACTTTGGGGGAAATTACAGTCTTTGCAGTGAATGACTTTTCTTTGTATTGCAGTTGATTCTTCCATGTCTTCTGAAATCAGGCTTTGCTATGGATAATAAAGCTTACTGATTATTGCTCAAATAGGCCATACATTTCTATTTTACAAAACCGTGTAGAGAGTTTACTACACGAGTAAGTAGAGAGTCTACAGCTGGACCTCGTGGATTTTTGCCTTGAATCTGTGACCTCAGAAGAATGGCTCTAAGTCTGACAGCCTTAGATTCAGTGTCCACATGCTAAGTCCAGGGAATGCCAGACAACAGAGTGGCCTCAGACACGCAGTGGAAAGCACAGTCTATTTAGAGATGTGGTTAAGTTACTCTGCAGACAGAAGAGAGGGCTGGCTAGGGAATAACAGAGGTAGCAAGAAAGGCATGAGGACTCCTGAACAAGAGCCTGAGTGGTGGGTAGACAGACTACGGCTTTTCACTCCTTACAGGTGTTCCCTGGGGGCTGCTGTATGTGTGGGACTTGGTCTTACACATGTAGAATAGAAGTCCACTTCTGTAAAAGTCTTACCAGTAATCTGATTAAAGCAGACCTGGACAGAGCACTGCTGGGGTCAGGGAAATGCTATTTTCACAGTTCTATTAGGCATGAAAATATGTGGTTTTTGTCTACTTCAAATATGCTATAGAAAAAGCTCATCTGTAAAATCTGGTCTTGTGTTGATGAAAAGGTAGCTATGAAAATATAATGAGAATCTGTGCCCTTAATTACTAATGTACCCACTAGGCTTATAGACACTAAACTAGTCATTAGGAGTCAAAATTAATAGATCTAGCCTTCGAAGGTGGTTTTGAGGGCCAGGTGTGGTTTGTACCTCCAATTCCAGCACCTGGGAGACCGAGGCAAGTGAATCAAAAATTCAAGGCCATTCTCAGCTGCTTAGCAACACAAGCTTGGGTTTGCTTTTTGAAGTGGTAACTCAGTGGAGGAAGACCTATGCCTGCACCACAGTCTGTTTCATAACTTTTAAAATTCCAATCTCCTGTACAAAGAAGGTTTCAGTCTGATTATTTTTTTTGGCGTTTTTTTTTGTTTTGTTTTTAATGACTGAAGCAAATACTGCATTTGTGCTTTCTTTGTCCCAACTTGTGTATGTCATTTGAAGCAAGTAGATTATAGTTCACTTCAGTTATTTGTTTTTTTTAATTGATCTCTGATTGTCTCTGACAAAGAACTGTACTATGATCTGAAGGATGTTTGTTAAAGTGATGAGATTCAGTTATAAGAAACTTCCTGTTCATAATTTTATGATCAAATAGAGATATGCAGGCACAAAATAGGATGAAAGTGTCAGTTTAGTGATAATTTAAAAATAAGCAAAAACACATTACTCTCTTTTTGAAAATTAAAAAATTGTTAATAAATTAAAAAACAAGTAGCCGAAGCAACTTTCCCTGGTTAGTTTGCAGATAGATTTGCATACTCATAAGTGGACTAGTGTTAACACCTTCTTAGGTTTATACCTCAACAGTTGATCAGTGTAGCACTTGTGAGGGGTGGCCAGAGGTCTTCTTGTCTTGTATTGTCAATGCACAAATATGAAACTGACATTTTAGTGCAGGCCATTATATGTCTATGAAAAGCTGACCAAATATATCTGCTAATATTCTTGTCTTGATTCTTTCTATTTGTGTATACACCACATACACACACACACA